CAGGACTGCCTTCTTGGCCTTCAATGCCTTTGCTTTGGCTTCGGTTTTGGGAGGGGCCGGGGCTTCCTTCTTCGCTTTCGGCGCCATCTTCGTAGAAAGGGTCCTATTTTTTTTTTAGATTTCATGAACAAGTAAAGGTGATGTATGCAACCATCTTCTTCTCACTGTTACATGCAGATTCAGAACTGACTCAACTGCCCTCCAGTGGGCTTTCTGAGGCAGTAAATCACACAGGAAGGAAGTGCCCATCTTTGTCCTGTAGAGCAGCTGGTAGGTTAGAACCTTGTATCTTTGGGTTGGCTTGATCTGCTTATAATTGATCAACTGATCACATTATGGGGGTGATTACATTATTATGGAACTAAAAATTAATATCATTATATAACTGAAAAAAACACTGACAATTACGGTTCAGCCAAATTGATACATATATAAGACATTTATCACTTCAAATTATTTTTCAGTAAAATGACCAATTATTAGGCCGAATTATGTCAGGTTAGAAAGTTTCCGCTATAGACATTGAAGAAACTATCTTTTTCTGTGGGCAAGAATATTTTATAAAAGTTTACCGTACAAGTTTTTTACCTTATAGAATGATTCACAAATTCGAACTTTTACAACAGCAGCACCAGTTCTAATACCAGATACCAAAATCATATCACCACGTTTCTCTATTTCTTCCAGCTCAGCTATATGCCTTGGAGGAGAATATTCTGCCTCAGAGTATTTCAGAATCCTATGGAAACAAGATTTATTTGGTGAGTTTTGTTTTTTCTCTAACAAAATACTTTCTTTCCAAATGGCCCTAAGAGCTTTTTTTTCAGCTTCTTAAGTATGTGAGTAAGAGTTTACAGAGTAAATTGGTTTTCAACTCAACAATTCACACACACACACACACACACACATTGATTATAATCCCCATAAGGTAACATCACATTTCCCACTTCATCCCTGTATCTGTTGTTTCCATTCCTCCTTCTTTCTTATCCTTGCCTAACATCTGAGCTTTCTCCTGGACAAATGCTGTCCAAGAGTTTTGCTCTTTTCTAAATGTTATATACAAAACATCTGCCATTTTAGTAATTTTTACAGGTACAGTTCAGTGACATTAATTATGTTCACCTTGCATTGTATTGCTATCGATTTCAAATTTTTTCATCATCTCTCTTAATAGAAATCAATAATTCCTCCTTTTGTTCCCATCTATTCCTGTTAACCAGTAATAAATTTTGGTTTCTTTGTATTTGACTCTTCTCAAACCAGACAACAAAGCCCACATGAATGGTTGCTGGTGAGTGTGTCACCCAATAGCAGATATCTCCCACAAAATCAAATGATTTATGGTTGGTTTCAAGAATACCTAATTTTGCTTGACAGTTCTCCTCTTGCTGACTCACTATCCGGGGCAATGCTCCATTCAAACATCATCCCTGCCAAACTACTAAAAGTATTTCCTGTAAAGCAAGCCAAAAACAGACAAAATTACACATTTGACTTTGTCTTTAATAAGACAAAGCAATCTCCTCTCGTGTAATTAACTGCCTCTGAAAACCCACTGGAGGGTCTGCTATACACAACAATAGCAGCAGCAAATAAAAGCACTACCATTATTTAATTAAAACACAGATTCTAGGGAGATTTCTACACAGAGAACATAAGTAATGTTACTATACAAACATTCTGGAAGCAAAAAAAGACTCAAGTTGTTTAACTTTTGATTGACAAAAATTATGCTACACTCCCTGTAAAGGTAAACTTAAAATTGTGTATTTTATAGTTGAAAGGCATCTTTAATATTCATCTCTTTAACATAAATACCAGATGCCAGAATATTCATAATTCATTTTTTCCAATTAAAAAAATAACTAATATAATAGATTAAAAAATAGCTAATAGAATAGAAAGAGGAAATAAGTTTAAATGTTTTAATACTATGTTGTATCACTAATACACTAAAAGCAACATAATAATAGACTCAAGTAAAAATTAACTCAAAACTATAAAATTTTCTTAAGCTTACATTTCAATCTCCAGGTCTATTGCAAGGCCAGTAATAATTTTTTTTATCTGAACTGTTGATCTAAAAACCATTAGCAGAAGCTCAGTGGCAGAATTTGGATATTATGAAAAGTTTTGAAATAACTAATTTTGTTGCAAGAAAAGTTTTATGACAGCATACAGCTACATGTTAACCTAATCTCAGAATATCTCCTCATCTACATGAACCCCATATGAGAAAGGAAATATAATCTCCAATCTCTTTTTCTCTCTCAAATTCCTGTTTTCAAGTATTAAACACAAAGGAAGTACTATCTGAGTTTGATTTTAGTACATGTTGTTGAATATTCTGAAGTTCATTACCTTCTTCATCCAAGGCTCTCACCATCAGTTCCAGTGGCGAATCATCTATGTAGAGTTCCCGGGTTCGAGATACAATTTCAATTCTGTGTATTATGTCAACCTTAACATCACAACGCAGTTCATGGTCAGTTACTAGGATGAAACAAAAATTGAGAATTTACCTCAACAGATCATAAATCTGTTAGGGTAAGATAGTAGACCAGTCAGATGGCAGCCCAGACTCACTTTAACTGAGATATCATAAAACAGTGAGAACAGATATTAATGATAAATCTAGATCTTTAAAAGCAGTACAAACACTGAAATATATGAGGCCATGAGTCTATTAAATACTTATAATTCTGAGGATTATAAAAAAGAAAGAAACGTCTGAAATGCTTAAGAGACACTAGATCAATGATTCCCAATCACTAGTCTGAGAAGATAGTTACACTGGTCATAAGAAAATAAAAATAATAATAATAAAATAGTAAAAAATTATTCCATTTAAAGAATTATGTTTTATTCTTATATTACATTCTACTTTCTCATGCTAAAAATGTTTTTCTATTAGGAAATACTAATGCTAGCAGACTTTTAAAATTTTACTTACTTAGGAAATTTTTTTAAAAAGTGGTAATAAATAAAAGTGGTAATCATTCTCTCTCTCACTTTCAAAATCTTTTTTGCTTTTTTTTCTTTTTAACTGAACTGTAAGATTAAAAAGCTTGGAAACAACTATTTAGACCACATTATAAGTTAACATGCTCATAACACAATGCAAAAATGAATTAAAATAATACAGGGGGAAATGAAAGTGAAATTAAAATTGTCCTGGTCCCCTATCTTGTAAAACACTTCCTTCCACCAGTTTACCACAGATTAGAGAACTGGCCATATGGCTGCTTCATTCTGCTGTGCTATCTAGAAACACTTACAGTTTTAGTTTCATTTACAAGTAACAAAAAGCAAAGTCACTGTTGCTATAATATCCAAAATTACTAATAGGACATTGTTGTTGTTGTTGTTGTTGTTAAGTGCCGTCGAGTCGACCCTATGAATGAAAGTTCTGGACACCTCCCGTATAACTTTCGTCCTTTCTCCAGGTTCATAGGGTTTCCAGAGGCAAGTTCTTGTGGAAGTGGATGCTACTCCTGCTTCCAAAATAGGACATTAGGGGATAAATTCTGTCTTAGCCATCAATCTAGCTCCTCTGAATTTTAAAATTAAAGCAGAATGTTAATCAGATAACACAGGTACATGTCCCTAACCTAAGGTGCACCAGATGTGCTTTTTTAAAAGGGAACATTGTATTTATTTTTTTTATATACACAAAAACACCCAACCCTCCAATTACACTTGTATTAGTAACCCTGGAACTACATTTGTAATAGTTAAAACAAAAAGGTAAATATCTTATAATGATAATGATAATAATAATAATGAGAAACTTTCCACTTAAAGGAATTACAAGAAAGCAAGAGGTGAAGGCTAGAACAGATTCTATGGTATAACATTAGAAGCAGAAGTATCAGTGTAAATTTCTGTTTAACACATACAAGATACATACTAGAAAAACTCCCACAGATAGAGTTCTTAATTCTGTCTACTAAGTGGGCTCAAATGGAGTAACATTCTAGTAGCAAAGAGTCTATCAGTATGTAGATTTGGTCTTTAAATGCCATTCTCTAACAAAAGGACGTAGGACTCATTCTCTAATAAATGCTAATCTTTTGGGGTTTTTTTTGTGTGTTTTTAGGTGCATTTTTGTTGTTTTTTGTTTGTTGTGTACCATCAAGTCGGATCTAACTGGCACTGGAGGAGATTGTCCCTCCCTCTCCAGCAGAGCACCTGGTAGATTCAAACCACGTGCCTTCAGGATTGCAGTGCAGCTTATTGCAATAAATACCATTCTTAATAAAAGGAACCAGTTTAAAACTGAAGCAGGGTGTATAATGAGCTTGGTATATTTTTTAATACCAGAAATTAACCCAACCCAACCCACTGAAATAGAGTTGAACTTTAACTAATAGCAACCCTATAGGATAGAAATAGAACTACTCCATAGTTTCCAGGGCTGTAAACATTTATAAAAGCAGGTCGCCACATTTTTCTTCTGTGGAGTGGTTGGTAGGTTTGAATATACAACTTTTGGTATTAGTCAAGAACAGAACCAGTAGGCCACCACAGCTCCTTCCAGAAGATAAAGAAGTTTTGGGGATTTTTTTTACCATAAAGATGTTTGTGTATTTTATTAAGCACAGGCATTTGACTATTTGAATCATAATAAATTATAGCTAACATTGAGAAAAATAGGAATCCAAGAACACATAATTGTACTCCTGCAAATTTTTTAATTGAGGTTTTCATGAAAGTTTATAGAGAACTTGGATTCCCATTCATTCATTGTTGCATATTTTCCTCCCTGACTCCTACCCCTCCCAGTTTGCTTTTATCTTTGGGGGGGGAGGGAAATTCCTTCATTGTTATACAGCTCCTCTCTCAGGTCCACTTTACTATGCAGCTCTTATTCTGGACTCTTGTCATGCCAATAATAGCTATCATATATTCTTTTTATACAGCTCTCTCCCTCCTCTGTTTCAATGCCATGTACATTATTTATCCCCTCTTTTCTTAGTTTCTCATCAACCCCCATGTCAGTCTTGTTTTATAACAGTGGCATTATGCAGTATTTGTCCTTTTTGTGGCTGAGATATTTCACTCAGCATAATGTCCTCCGTAGTCAATAATTTTGTATAATATTTCATGAATTCTTAGTTTTTTAGTGCTGCATAATATTCTATTGTGTGAATATACCACAGCTTTTCTATCCATTAGTTTGTTGATGTGCACTGAGGTTGTTTCCAACTCTTTGCTATTGTGAACAAAGCAGCAATAAACACGGGTGTGCATATATATACTTGGGTAGTAGTTCTGGTTTCTTTAGGGTATATTCCCAGTAGTGGAATTTCTAGGTCGAATGGTATTTCTATTTCCAACTTTTTGAGAAAGTACCATACAGCTTCCATAGTGGTTGCACCATTTTACACCCCCACCAACAATGAATAAGGGTTCCAGTTTCTCCACAACCTCACCAGCATTTGTTGTTTGCTGTTCTGTTAAATTTTGCTATTCTTACGGGGGTGAGATGATATCTCATAGCTGTTTTAATTTGCATCTCTCTTAGAGCTAGGGATTTTTCGCTAGGGTCTTAGAGCTAGGGATTTTGAACATTTCTTCATGTGTTTGTTGGCCATTGAATGTCTTCTTTGGTGAAGTGTCTGTTCATATCCTGTGCCCATTTTTCAATTGTATTGTTTACCTTTATCTTATTGTGACACTCGAGTATTTTATAAATTCTAGATATAAGTCCCTTATTAGACATATCATTACCAAATATTTTTTCCCAGTCTATAGCTTCCCTTTTGACCCTGTTAGAGAAGTTTTTGGATGTGCTTAGGGATTTGATTCTTAGAAGGTACCATTCATCTATTTTATTCTCTCCTGGTTGTAGTTAGTAAAGAACTATTTTTAAAGAAACTTTTTCTAAACAAATAGAGAAGGGACAAACCCAAAGGACACAGAGGTCACCCTGAAAGAACTTCCAAGGGCCAAAGTTGGAAAAAAATTAAGAAATTCTTGTTGCTTCTTAGATCATCAATGCATCTCTGACTCATAATAACTCTGTGTCCAACAATGCAAAACTCTGGGCTATCCTCACAATCTTTGGTATGTTTAAGCTCACTGTTTGCAGTTATTGTGTCGATTTATCTCATGAAGGGTCTTAATCTCTTCAGCTAATCTTCTAGTTTTCTAAGCATGGCACCTTGTCTTTTTCCAGGGATTGACCACTCCTAGCAGCATGCTCTAAGTATGTGAGATGAAGTTTTACCATATGCTCCTCTAAAGATTCCCCTTGACTGCAAGTCTTCCAAAACAGCTTTGTCCTTTTAGCTCATTTACTACCATCAGGTTTATTTAAACACACAGTGATTCTCCACTTGGTTTGGGACTATATATCTTTACAGGAGGAGTCTGCCCATCTTTTTCCTGTGAAACATCTGGTAGATTTGAATTGACATTCTTTGGGTTAGCAGCCCAACACAAAACACATTATGCCCCTGGTGCAATATTTTGTGCCAGCACCAAAATACAAAGGCATCCATTCTTACTTTCCCTTATTTAGGGCACAGGAAGCAATTGAAAATCCCATGGCTTGGTTCAGGCACATTCTAAGTCTTTAAAGTGACAATATTTATCATTTACCCCTTTTTAAAAAAAATTCCTTAGCAGAAGATTTTCCCAGTACAATATGTTGTTTGATTTCCTGACTACTGCTTCCATAGGTGTTGATTATGGATCCAAGTATAATTAAATCCTTAACAACATCAATCATGTTCCCTTTAATGTGATGTTGCTTAAGTCCTCTTCATTTTCAGTAAACAAGATTGTGTCATCTGCATATTAATTGGATTGGAACTCAAAAAATAAACAAAATATCCACGAGTCCATATTGATGTAAATAATGTCTTAATAACTGAGGTTGCTATTATTGTTGTTAGGTGCCATTGACCTATAAAGACCCTATGAACAACAGATCTGAACCCAGTCCTATCCTTTGCCATCCTCCTTATTTCTGACTCACATGACCCCACTGCTGCAGTCACTGTATCAATCCATTTGGTTGAGGGTCTTCTCTTTTGCTGACGCCTCCACCTTCCCAAGCATGATGTCCCTCTCCAGGAATACCCTCTTCTAGCAGCATTCCCAAAGAATGTGAGACAAATCTTTATAATCTTTGCCTCCAAGAAGCACTGTAGCTACACCTTCTCCAACATATATCTGTTTGTTCTTTTCACAGTCTGTGGGATATTCAGTATTCTTCTCCAAGTCCAAAGCCCAAAACCATCAATACTTTTGCCATCCTTAGTCATTGCCCAGCTCTCAGATGCATAGCAAGTGACTGAAAAAGACCATGGCCTTAGTCTTCAAACTGGCATCACTACTTTTCAATAATTTGGAGAGGTCCCTAACTGCAGACATTCCCAGTCCAATATGTCTCCTGATCTCCCAACTGTTAGTACCAAAAGTATTGTTTGTGGATCCAAATAAGTTGGAGTCATTGGTGAGTTTGTGTTTTCTTGTTGTTGAGA